AAAAAAAAAAAAAAAAGAAAGAAAGAAGGAAAGAAACTATATTTTTGACTTAAGGAATTAATTTTTTCCAGATATGTACATTAGAAAGGCCACTTCAAAGACGTTAAAAAAAAGTTCAGGTGAACGTTATCATTCATGGATACTACTGTTGCTTTGGTTTTAAAATACTGGGAGAAAGAGCTGTGTTTTTATAAAAGACACCAGTAGTAACAAATCCCCTAGCAAATCTATTCTGTACTTTCAGATAGATAGTTAAGATATTTATGATTAGCACTGTCTTGTATAGGTGATATACATATTTTTACACCTGGAAAATATATTTGGAAGCTGTATCACTTACCAGTAACCAAAATAATATGTAGGAAAATCCTGGTTTCCAATTACTCCAGTTTTATTAATTTTAAAATTAGCAATTTTTAAAATATATATTGTTACTTTTGTTTGGTTTATGGTTTTACTAGTTCTAATTTGTATTTTTTAAAGCCTCACCTCTAATTACTTTTAGCAGAGAGGAGAGTTTCAGGAGTGGAGCTAAACCCCCTCTAAGAGCCAGAGATTTCATGGCCACTAACCCCGAGCATTTAGAAATTCTGAAGAAGATGGGGGTGAGTTTGATTCACCTGAAAGATGGGCGCGTCCAGTTGGTTCAACATGCAATCCAAGTAAGACTTTGCTATACTTACTAGATACCATCTCTTCTTGTTGGTCTCTTTACCTTTAATAACATAATGGCATTTGACTTTATAAAAAAAAAAACAAAAAAAACCCTTTAGAGTTTAGAGAATCAGAATTTTGGATTTGGAAGTATCTTGGAAAGTAACTTAATTAAACTCCTTGTAATATAAATCAGTTAAATCAGGTTGGGTAAATTGCTTTGTTACTGCAGTCAAAGATAGGGCTCATATCTAGAATTTGTTTCTTAGTCCATTGTCTTTCTACTATTCCTGTTATTTGGAGCATAATTTTACATGTTAGCAGCTAATTTTAATAATTATATCTCAGTACTTCAGATTAGTTTCCCAAGAGCTATTGATTCTTTATTTCTTTTGTTAAAGAAGTAAATTTGTGTTTGTACCTAGCTAGGAAATATAACCTGCCTTTTAGGGAAATAAAATTTTTTTATATTATAAGAAACCTATTTACCTTGATTTTGAAAGAACTACATAGTTCGCTGAGTAATTGCAACCTAAACCTGGATTCAGGTAGCTCTTAGTCTGTCTCTCACAATCTCACCTTTCTCTCACATTTTTATTTCTTCTGTACTCTGGTTACATCTGTCCTTCATTAAAAACTGTTCTTCCTTTTTGTTCTTGCTTAGGTTTCAGAACCCTTCCTCGTAGGGAAATGGCATCTTAGCTGTCACTTGGTCCACCAATGGTGTAATTGCTTTCAAGGAACTTTTTAATTCTTAATATGATTGAATTTTTATATAACTGACCCCTTCTTGCGTTATTTTCCTTTCTTGATTGCTAGGACATTCCAGCAATGTAGGTTTTTTCCCTTCTCTGTTCATTGCTTTGTAGATTTCTTTGTAGCTCTCCTTGCTTGGTATTTCTCTTCCCTGTAGGCACTGCTTAATGATCTGGATGACATTTTGTTCTCTCTGCTTTTCAACAGTCTTCCCTTTTTCTACAAGCTCAGCTGTGAGCTTTGTGCAGATGACTTCTCAGAAATATGTATGTAACTCCTCTTCCTAACTGTACTCCTGATCCCAGTTTAACTGAATGCATTTCTGCATCTCTCTCTGTCCTGCCGAAACTAGAATAACTCTTCCTCCCCCAAACCTCAGTCTTTCTTTTCTTATTTATTGTCTATATCACTAAACTCTCATCATTCTCTTAAGTTCTCAGTGCTAGAAATTTTAGGATAGGCTTGCACTTTGTTTCTCAACTTTCTGTCCTCCAGCTTCAATCAAGTCTTATTGGTTTTTCTTGCTTGCTTGCTTGCTTGCTTGCTTGCTTGCTTGCTTGCTTGCTTTATTTATTTATTTATTTATTTGCGTACCAGAGATCAAACTCAGTACCTTACACTTGCCAGGCAGGTATTTATGCTTCTGAGCTATGTCCTCAGCCCTGGTTTTTCTTGTAAAATGAAATCCATCATATTTTTTCTACTATAGGCATTCCTAAGCCTTTCCTCCAAAAAGCTTCAATCCAAATGTTCTCCAAATCTTTCACTAATACAGTTGTTTCAGTTGCTTATTGGCTGTGGTCCTACTCTACTTTTCTTACTTGAGAAATTCTATCGTAATTAATTTTACAAGACTTTCTCCTCTAGAAGGCTTAAAGAACCATCTCCCCAGAGCCCAGGCAAATGCTAGGGTAGAAAAGATGCTTTGTGTCTTTGTTCTGAATGAAATGAATCTGTTACTCACAGTTGCAAGGAGGTAGGCTGTGAGTGAGATGGAGTTATTTCTTCAGAGGTGAGGGCAGTGGGGAAAACAAGGAAGGGAAGCATTTCAGCATTTAATTGAAGTCCAATTCTCAAGCCGCATCACGGTTGCTTTAGTTAGAAGGTAAAAGACACATTGATAAAAATTCAGTTATTTTCAGAAAATGTAATATCTGAAAGTAAAGTTTGAAGACAGGTAAGGCTATGACTTTATTAGAAATCTGAACTAATGCATTGTATTTAGGAAATAAAAAAAGGTTAGTGAAATTTCCGGAAGGAAGAATAAAATTAATCTGTTTCTTTTATAGGCTGCTAGTTCAATTGATGCTGAGGATGGATTGAGGTTCATGCAGGAGATGATTGAATTGTCAAGTCAGCAACAAAAAGAGCAACAGCTCCCTCCGCGGGCTGTACAGATTGTTTCCCACCCATTTTTTGGCAGGGTAGTGTTGACTGCCGGCCCAGCTCAGTTTGGGCTGGATCTGTCTAAGCATAAAGAGGTATGTCTACTCAAGATAGACTTGTGGAAGTTGAGTTTAAAATATTACTAGATACTGTTTAACTTTCTTATTTCTTACTTTGGACATTTTATTCTAAAACCCCAGGGACTAGATATAAATAGCTTAGCTATAAACCATTTGTTTGGTATTCATGAGGTCGGAGTTCAATGCCCAGCATCACTATCATAAAAAACAAAATACGTAAATGTTTAGTCTCAAAGATTTATATATATTAATAGCATACCTTCAGAATGATAACATTTTGTGTATAATAATGTACTATTTAAAATAGTTTTCAGGGTGCTGGGGTACAATTCCGTGGTAGAGTGCATACTTGGCATGCATAAGGACCTGGGTTTAATCTCCAGCACTCAAAAACTATAAAATCAAATATTGCAGAGTAATTACATGCATTTTCTTGGTCTCTTCTTTAATTACTTTCAATTTACCAAAACTGATTTTTCAGGCTTTCTAATAACTACTAGAATCTTACATTGAACAAAATTTAATGCAGGTGCTTCATGAAGAAAACAGCTAGTCGCAGAGTTATTCTACCTCCACAGGCTGTGGAGAGTCCTTGAAAGTGCATTGAGCAAACTTTGACGGCTAAGCTAGTTCATTCCTTTAGTCTTAATGCAGGGAACACATACCTGTGTAGCTAAGCAGTCCTAGATTTATCTCACTGATGATTGTAAGGATGAGACTAGAGCCGAGTATCCTGTGCATCTAAAGACAATACTGTTTCCGTTCTGTCATTCCTAATTTAAACTATTTCATGATACGTTATTTTGAACTACATAGAAGATTATAGATTGATTCATTCAACAACTCTTACTGAACTCCTACTATATTGTTATCTATGCATCAGTTTAGGAAACCAAAACAGACCCAAACCCTTTTGGAGTTTATATGCCAAGAAAGAGAGATATCAAAACATTTTTGAAAATCTATTTTTGTTGGATTTAATTTAGGAAGAACAGCTTGTAAATTTTGTACAGCTTGTAGATTTTTTTCTGGTTACCAGTATGGTTTAAAAATCATTTCTAGCTATTGTAAATTTGAGTATAGTTATGTAGTAAATTTGCTTTGGACATTGAGTTTGCTGTTGGTCTCAGTTGTACTACTTCCTAACATTGTATCTTTGAGCAAAGTATGTAACCTGAGTCTCAGTTTTACAGTATGTAAAATGGTAATAATATTTATATTGTTTCACTGAAAGTCAGTATAAAGTTCAGGTTTAGTAACTCATATAAAAATGTTTTACACATGCAAAGGACATTCTAATGAAATATGATATCATTAAAAAGAAAAGCATTGTAATCTCCTTAAAGCTCAAGATATTGAGGTTTAATGACTAGATTGTAATCTGAGAAGAAAACAAGATTAGAGCTCCTTTTATTTCTGACAGACAAGAGGCTTTGTTGCAAGCAGTAAACCATACAATGGTTGCTCAGAACTTACTAACCCTGAGGCAGTGATGGGAAAAATTGCACTGATACAAAGAGGACAGTGCATGTTTGCAGAAAAGGCACGTAATATCCAGAATGCAGGAGCCATCGGTGGCATTGTTATTGGTAAGTAATCCTCTGTCATTGTATTAATAGAAGATACTTTTTAAGAATTTTTCTTTTATTCTCTATAAACATTTATCAAAGTTTTGTCAAATTGTTTTAATTTTTAAAATACAAAGGAGAGAGAATTCAAAGACTTAATAATTTCTATATACCTATTATCTTTTTTTTAAAGCCTAGATGTGGGTTTCTGTGTATTAATGCCAGTGAAAATAATTGGGAGCCAGGTATAAGGGTGGAGTAGGAATGGTAAAAATGGCCAATAATGTGGAAAAGTAAATCTTCCCAGGTTTGAAAGCCCTGCAAGGTAAGAATACTCTTCTACCTCTGTTCCCATGGGCTGTGAGCTGTTGGAACTTCCATCCCCCTGCAGGATCAGGCTGTAGAGTCAGGGTCCCTTTAGGTGCAGTCACCCGCTCTGCTACAGAGTTGCATGAAACCTTGGCCCAGCTTCACTTTTCTTTTCTTTTTTTCTTTTTTTTTTTTTTTTTTT